TTTTCGTGTATGTTGTTGTTATGTTTCAGATGTTTTTCAATAGTTTATGGTTTTTTTTATGGTTGTATGTTATTCTATGTTGTTGTTTCATGATGTTATTATCGACAAATAAGCTTGTGGCTTCACATATTGATAATATTCACGGTGTTTATAGGACTCAAGAAACATCAACAACAATAAACTTCATCTAGTTTGAGAAGCTATAAGAAGAAATATAAGAATTATGAAGCTATTGTGTAAACTTCATCCATCTTATATCTCTTTCTCATGGCTTCACAAACTAGTTGAACCTCACATGGTGATGATGATGGTGGTAGCAAGCGTATACTATGAGTTGATAAAGTACATATGGTTTGTGTAGAAATGGATAAAAATATAATAAGTATGAAGTCATTGTGGAAACTTCATCCAACTTGTATTTCTTCCTCATTGTTTAACAAATTAGATGAACTTTTCTAATTCATACAACTTAATATCATTCAATGTTTAGAGGTGCGTTCTAGAAATGGTTAGTTTTTCAGTTCTCCCAATCCATATAAATTTATTTGTTATTTTTGTTGATAAATGTTGTTAGTGAGTTTGTTATATATAATGAAATTGCTTGTTTCACTAACCCATCATTGAACTTGCATTCATTTAAAAAGATTTTTAAGATAATAATTTAAAAAATTAAATTATTCTTGAAAATCAACTCAGACGATCCAATGTTTTTTTTGAATTGCATGCATCTTATAAATCATAATTCCCTCTTTAGCATATAGAATTTCATTCAATGTCACAAATTCTTCAAAATAATATTGATAAATGGATGTCAGTCTGGATCTTTCACACAAATCTTGGTGTTTGAAAAATAAAGTAGAAAAGAAGAGGAAATTAAATTTTATGTGACAGACTCAGACTGGCATCCATTTATCAACATTACTTTGAAGAATTTGGGATTGAATCAAATCCTATAGACTAAAAGAGGAAATCATGATTTACAGGATGCTTGCAATTCGAAAAATATTGGATCTTTTAAGTCATTTTTCAATAATAACTTAATTTTTATTATTATTGTCTCAAAAATTTATTTGAATGGTTGTATACAGTTAATAAGGGGCAGAGAAAAACAAGCAATCTCATATTTTATAATAAACTATTACATATACCATAACAGTTGGAAAGTTTAGCCGTGGTGAAATGCTGCTATTTTTATGTGCTTTAGTTTTGGTCGTAGCTGGGTAACTAACCCATGCCACTATATTCATTACAATGGTTGTTTACGGACCATGATTGTAAGTGTCGCATATACAACCACACTCTATACAACAACGCGTGTACCCACGTGATTATATGTGTTTCCCAACCGTTGTTAAATGAGTTTTCTGTAGTAGTGAATATTACATGGGCTCTAGAAAGGTGTGGAACTTTTTTGAAATGCTAAAAAAATGTCACATGTGATTGTCACTAATCGCGACACTTCACTGATAAATTTTGTTGCAAAAATATTTCCTACACCATATGCTTTACTGCATCGGTATCACAAATAAAAATATGAGATCTAAAATTAAGTCGATCTTAAAAAACAAATAAATCAAAAGTGAAGACGAGAAAATTATCAAATATAAACAAATATTGGAACTCATAATAGAAGCGTGGAATATTGTAATCAATTCTTTTACAAAAGAGTCTTATGTTGATTTTGTGATGCAGTTCGAAAGTGCAGGTACATGAAATATAAAAATTCAACTATGTTGAGACTACAATATTAGACAAGGTGAAGGAGAAAGTAGTTTGTGCTTGAAATGATAAGTTAGACACTTTGACAATAACACCACAAACATAATTGAATTTGCTCATGGTAAACGATACACAAAGTCCTAACAAATTTAAGTACAAGTGTTTCAAAAGTGATAAACAAATAATGTAAAATAATATATCTATTGAGTATGTTGCATAGTTTTTCCTCTCAGTTGCCTCATATACTTAAATAAACCTGCCCCTAATAATACTTCTTGTATCGTGTCCCTCGAAGGGAATCCTTCATGAAATTCTCCTCTACTGATGGCATCCTCGAGTAAAGTGATGATACAATGACATCTAAACAGCACATCTATAACATGGTCTGCCCCAACTCGTTGCTCCTCTATGATCCTCTATATTATTATTGGATGTAGCAGTATACAATATTCCATAACCTGTCAGCTGGAACACTTCATACATCGTCTATTAGAAAATTCTTAAGATAGTCATCAAACATTGCATCAACATCTCCATGATACATTGTAGGAAGCACAACAATTATGGGGTTCCCAAGGATAATCTACACTTACATGAACGACCTTAACACACGCTCTGGCAGATGATGGTACATGGGTCGATACTCATTTGCTAGCCACCTAGAGTACTATCAGATATCCTCAAAAGGTTGCATCTAACGATGATTGCAATATGAAGTGAAACAAATATCTTCTTCCATAATAAAATCAATGGAATGATTGTAAGTCATTATCATTGAATTTCCCTATGTGGAGAAATGGGGCAAGCACATGGAAACTCTTCATTGTAGTCATCAATAATTTTAGTGCTAGAGGGTCTAGAACTAAAAATAACTCAAATACAAAATATTAGTAGTTATATAAAGATTATTTAGAAGTTATATGAAAATTAGAAGATACATGTATAATACATGAATTACACAGTTGTTTCATGCCACCTATTTGGTTTTGAACTTACTTTCTCGATCCAGCTTGGTGTAAAAGTAAATCAAACATAAAATTCCCCAATTATAATCATGAATCCTCTTAATGTCTAAGAAGTAGCGAACATGTACAACATTAACATATGTTTTAATTTAGTTCACACAAATAGTTGTGATAACCAAATACAAGAAATAGATCTTTAATGAACATTATTTGCGATAATTCTGAGTGCATCATTACTAGAATGGGGAACATGGGCACTCACATAGGGCTCTAAAAATTTAAACAGTGCATGAGCTCCTTGGGTATGTGTAACCTTAAGCTCAACCACACCAGAATCAACTTCTAAGAGTTTAAATATTAAATCTAGTGTTTTGAGTCTCTGAATCAAAGAGAGATCAAATAATTGGCCTCTGATAGAGAAATGACGAAGACAAGATACATTGTTCAAATGGACACTCATGTCACCAATGATAAGATGAAACGAATATGTCTCTAAATGAAAGGCATATTTTAAGGATATTCTACATCCTACAAAAAAATATAGGATATACAATCTCAAAAATCAATATGTAGAAGAAAACATGTTTATTAATTTTGATGAATTTAATGATTTTGATGATAAAAGAAAGGAAGATGACGATGAAGATGAATAACATCATAATTTTGATATTAACCAAAATGGCGAGGATAAACAAACTGTATCTTCTTAAGATCCTCCAACGAATTAGAAAATAGTCAAATATCATCCTCAAGATCAAATTATTGAAAATATTTCTGATGGAGTCATAACTACAATTCTTTAAAGGAGATCAAAACAACATGGTCATTATCTCTTAATTGAGTTAAAATAAATAAATGAGCATGTGGATGGACTAAAAATGAAATACAACTTGAAGATATTTTTATCATTGAGACTATCAGTAAGAAACATCACTAATAAAGGAATATTTTATTTCTATATGTTTTATTTATGTGCATTTATCTCAAATTTTCAAATGATTCATCTCTTTCTCAATGATATTGCATGTCTTTTCTCTTCTCTTTTTTTTTTTCCACAAGATGACAAAGGGGAGAGAATGGCCAAGAAAGTAATGGTTTACAATTAAACAATAATAAAAATCATTATTTTTTTATGCATAGATTGAGGGAGAGTACAAACTTTTTATTATTGCAAAAATTGAGGGGCACATATTTTTTCAAATTTGAAAGATCAAAATCTTAATTACAAGAAATTTGTTCTCATAAAAAAGGACGGAGATCGTTGAGGAAAAATCTTTTTTTGATATTTTGAAGATAACAAAATCTTGTGTAAATATAATTAAGATTAAGATATTGTTATTTGATGTGTGCTATTGAGTGAAAATAAGTAAGACATGTTTATTCATTCTTACTCAAAATACTATATTATGGCATAATGATCTTAACTGAACCGACCAGAGGTTTAATAACGAAGAAGTCAATCATAACCACAAAGTAATAAGGTGTTGAAAGTACAGTTTACCACGATCTTAAGATCTATACTCGATTCACGTCAGGTTGGACCTCATCATTAGATATTAGATAACAGTTCTCTGTATTCCAAATCGGGAAGCATGTGACATTTCTAACGTTTCTCATATATAAAGTATCACACATGAAAATCTAAGATATATTTTAATCATAACTTATTCAACTTGTTACTCATTTGTTGACTTGAGCATTAGAGTGATAATTCATTTTTATTATATCGAAAGCTTGTTATGCCACACTAAAACACTGTTCCACTACTTTACCATACATTTATGATTCTCTAACGGAATATTAGTTCCTATTGACATATTTATTTTCTTTCTTATTCGATAATTTGATACATAAATACACTAATTAAAACCCTTTTATAAATATTATTTTCTTTTTTTTTCTCACTATTGATATTCATAACAAATTAACAATATTAGTTAAAATTAGAAAAAAAGTATCATTTCTTAAATGTTTTACTTTTTTTAATAAAAATATAACAAATATATTAAATATTGTTTAGAGAATGAAAATAAAAGAAATGTAGAAAGAAGTTATACACTAAAATTTTCATAAAAAATAATAAAAATCAATATTAAAAGAATTGTTTATAAGTTTTGTCATTATATTTAAGGAAAATAAATACATCCAGTAAATTGAAATGGACTTATACTAGTATGATGTAAAAAAAAATCCGGCCAGCAGGACGAATGAAATTGCATTGATTGAGTGGTATATGACATTATCATGAGCTATGAACCAATAAATACACCAGCACCCAAGAAAAAAAAACCAATCAAAATTACCAGAAGATAAAACTCACAAAACAACACTTCTTTTTCCAACAGCATAGCTTCTACTTCTTGGATAAGAATTCCCCAGAACAGGAACATCACCAAAACCTTCACCCAAATCACTAGCCTTTTCTTCATCGATCCGACCCATACCAACACTAACGGATTTTGGCAACCCGTTTGTAGAAACGGGTCGTGACGTGGCAGCTTCTTGCTTGAGAACCAAATCAACATCAATCCGGTTAACCAAAGTCCTAGCTGAAGCTGCTCTCATTAACTCAACAAAATCCTCGCTATCACCAGCACCGCCAGATCTGGTTGTTACCGCGCTGTAACTTCTCGGTAAATTCTGGAATCTTCCGGTAGAATCTATTGGATTGGTGTAGTTGATGTTGTTACCGCACTTCGTTATGCTTCTTACGTACATGTCTTTGGCTCTTCCTAGTACTCTTATAGGTGTTGTTATTATTCTCACTATCTTGTTCTGTTTTTGTTCTTTCCCACTTTTCCTCATAGCTTCAATTCATGAACTAAAAAATATACAAGAAATTAGAACTTTGAATTATTGGAAGTGTGGGTATGAAGATGTGAATTATTGAGAAAAGAGGACACCTGATAAGATCAAAGATGTTGAATGGAACGTGTTACCACTATAGTATTAATAATAATGATTGGACTTTATATTATATTAAGGTAGGTGGCTTGGATTACATGGAACCGTAATGTTATGAAATCCAACTTAGTATTACATTTTGACTTTTTTATACAAGAATAAGTAAATTAACCGGCATGTTATACAAATAGTTAATTGGTCTAGTGATGATTGATGTTTGATTTAGTAAGGAAGACTATAATTCGATCCTCCATAACTGCTATTGAAAAAAAGACTAGAATTACTTGATGCTAGAACTGACATTTGAATCGGATAATAATGCACACAAATCAATGATGAACAAATGAATATATTTAAGAGAGTAGAGAATGGGGGCTGTAAAGCTGCAAAATGAATAAATGTTATTGTATTTATGACATTTACAACTAACCTATTATACACAAAAAAATTAATGTCACGTTGACCCTATTAGAATAGACTTAATAACTAAGTTATCAATAACAATTAGAAATATTAAAATACCCTTTAATACCATCCCTTAATTTAAAATTTCTAATTAATACTAACTACACCAATCAGAATCAGAGTAACTCATCAACTTTGAATCTGTCTTTCTTCTAGAAGCCTCAGAATCCTGACAACAGCTTGGTAATGAGACCACATAGGTTTACTCATGAACCTACTAACCAATCCAACTGCATAGCAAATATCAGGTCTGGTATTACACAAGTATCTTAAAGAACCAATCAATTGTTTGAAGGTTGTAGCATCCACATCTTCGCCATCAGAGTCACAATCTAATTTATGATTGGTTTTTGATGGTGTAACAGCGGCCTTACAATTCTCCTGCTTGAATTTCTTCAGAAGCTCAAGTTCATACTTCAGTTGATGCAAAATTATACCCTTTTCAGATTACAATACCTCAATCCCTAGAAAGTAAACCAACTTTCTTAGGCCAGTCATCTCCAACTCATTCATCAGAGTCTTCTTGAACTTAACAACTTCTTTAGAACAACTTCCCGTCAGCAATATGTCATCAACATAAAGACATACCAGAATCATATTTTTTTCAGAATGCTGAACATCCACGCCATACTCCATCTCACACTTCTAAGAACCTTGCTTCTTGAAAAATGAATCAATCTTCAAATTACAAGCTCTAGTCGCTTGCTTGAATCCATACAGAGCTTTATGTAATTTTTACATCATCCCTTCCTGATTATTTTCCATAAATCTAGGAGGTTGTGACGCGTATATCTCTTCTTGTAATGGACCGTTCAGAAATACAGACTTCACATCTAGATGCATCAGAGGCCAATTTCTATTTGCAGCTAAAGCAATCACCAATCTGATTGTTTCATGTCTAGCTACAAGCGCAAACACCTCAAAGTAATCTAGCCCATATTTTTGAAGAAAACCTCTAGCCACTAGCCTTGCTTTGTGCTTGCCAATTGATCCATTTGGCTTATATTTGACTTTGAAAACCTATCTGACGCCGATGGCTTTCTTCTTATCTGAAAGCTTAGTCTGCTTCCAAATCATGTTTCTTTCTATAGCCTCAAGTTCTTATTTCATGGCATTCGTTCATACTTTCTTCTTGAGAGCTTCTTCAATACTCATAGGTTCATAGTCAACTAATATGGCACACTGAACAATTTCTCCTTCTGAATCTACTTCAGTGTATTACAACATGTCAAACTCTGCAAACCTTCTTGGTATTTGTATGATTCTTTGAGGCCTTTGAACTTGTTCAGAAACTCTTTCTGATTCTGGAACAGTATCAGATACTTGACCACCTTCAGAAGTTGGATCGCCTTCAGAACCTCTACTTTCTGAAGTTCCACCTTCATAATCATGACCTTCACCAGAAACATGATCATCTTCAAAAGCTTGTCCTCCAGAACCTACGTCTTCAGAGTTTTTCCTTCCAGAAGCATGGCCACCACCAAATTCTGGATCATCATCAAAATCTGGATCAAAATCAGATTCACCATCTGACTCATCTTCAGAGTTTCCAAAATCATCATCTGACTCTGACTCTTCTTCAGAATTGTCAAGTTCTGGCTTATCTTCAAAAATAGATTGAGACTTGCTCCAATCCCATACTTCATATTCCTTTATAATGACGTCTCTGCTGACTTCAAATTTATTCTTTTTTGGACAATAAAGCTTGAATCCATACAGAGCTTTATGTAATTTTTACATCATCTCTTCCTGATTATTTTCCATAAATCTAGGAGGTTGTGACACGTATATCTCTTCTTGTAATGGACCGTTCAGAAATACAGACTTCACATCTAAATGCATCAGAGGCCAATTTCTATTTGCAGCTAAAGCAATCACCAATCTGATTGTTTCATGTCTAGCTACAAGCGCAAACACCTCAAAGTAATCTAGCCCATATTTTTGAAGAAAACCTCTAGCCACTAGCCTTGCTTTGTGCTTTCCAATTGATCCATTTGGCTTATATTTGACTTTGAAAACCTATCTGACGCCGATGGCTTTCTTCTTATCTGAAAGCTTAGTCTGCTTCCAAGTCTTGTTTCTTTCTATAGCCTTAAGTTCTTATTTCATGGCATTCATCCATACTTTCTTCTTGAGAGCTTCTTCAATACTCACAGGTTCATAGTCTACTAATATGGCACACTGAAAAATTTCTCCTTCTGAATCTACTTCAGTGTATTACAACATGTCAAACTCTGTAAATCTTCTTGGTATTTGTATGATTCTTTGAGGCCTCTGAACTTGTTCAGAAACTCTTTCAGATTCTGGAACAGTATCAGATACTTGACCACCTTCAGAAGTTGGATCGCCTTCCGAACCTCTACTTTCTGAAGTTCCACCTTCATAATCATGACCTTCACCAAAAACATGATCATCTTCAAAAGCTTGTCCTCCAGAATCTACGTCTTCAGAGTTTTTCCTTCCAGAAGCATGACCACCACCAAATTCTAGACCATCATCAAAATCTGGATCAGAATCAGATTCACCATCTGACTCATCTTCAGAGTTTCCAAAATCATCATCTGACTCTGACTCTTCTTCAGAATTGTCAAGTTCTGGCTTATCTTCAAAAATAGATTGAGACTTGCTCCAATCCCATACTTCATATTCCTTTACAATGACGTCTCTGCTGACTTCAAATTTATTCTTTTTTGGACAATAAAGCTTGTATGCACCTGTATTATGGTATCCCACCAGAATCATTACTTTGCTTCTATCATTCAGCTTCTTCCTTCTAGATTTTAAAACGTGTTTATAACATACATAACCAAACACCTTCAGATGACTAACACTTTGCTTGTCTATAGTCCACTTTTCTAAAGAAAAAATTTCCTTCAGCTTCTTTGTTGGACACGTATTGAACACATACCTGACGTGGCTACAGCTTCTCCCCACAAGTTATGAGGCAGCTTATTCTCTTTCAGCATGCTTCTGGTCATATCAAGTAAACTACGATTTTTTCTTTCACCAAGACCATTGTGTTGAGGAGTATATGGAGCAATAACTTCATGCTCAATTCCATTCTCATTACAAAACTTCTAAAATTCTATAGAGTTATACTCACCTCCACCATTCGTTCTAAGAATCTTTAGCTTCTGACCACTTTGTTTCTCAACCTTCACCTTGAACTTCTGAAACTCGGTAAACACCTCATGTTTAAACTTATGAGTATTACCCATGTCATTCTTGTGAACTCAGCAAAAAAAAACGCGAAATGTTTATTTCCTCCAAGTGAAGGTTCTGGAAATGGTCCATACACGTCAGAGTGCACTACTCCCAAAGCATGTTTTTCTCTTGGAGCTACTTCTGACACAAATGGCAATGAGGGTTGTTTTCCTTTCATGCATACCTCACATGAATTCTCAGGTTTCACAATCTTCGAAATACCACATACGAGCTTCTTAAAACTCAGATACCCTAAGCTTCTGTAGTTCAGATTCCCTAACATCTTGTGCCACAACTTACTATCAACTTCAACATCTTCTGAACTAAGACATTTTGCTTCTACTGTCTCCACATTCACCTTGAATGTCTTGTTGCTTCCTAGTTCTGATTGCATAATCAGCTTCTAATTAACACCATACAACTTCAAAAGATTGTTCTTCATAATAACCGAGAAACCTTTCTCAATGAGATGACCCACACTCATCAGATTGCTCTTAATTTCAGGAACATACCAAACATCCTTGATCAGCACAGTCTTCTCATTCTTCACTCTAACTTTGACATTTCCCATACCTTATGCATTAAGGTATTTATCATCAGCACATCTGATTTTTGTCCTCCTTCTGGAATCAAAATCTATTAGCCATTGTTTGTTTCCAATCAAGTGATTTGAACAACCAATGTCCATATACCACCAGTCTGCCAAAAATTTTCCATCAGACTCAGAAGTCATCAATAGCATAAGTTCATCATTTGAATCCCATCTGGCTATATTGCTTATTCTAATTTTCTTCCCTTATTTGACCAACAATCTTTAGCAAAATGGCCAAACTTCTTACAACAATAACATTGAACTTTCTTCTTGTCAAACTTCTCCTTTCCTTTCTGATGTTTCTTTTTCATCAGAAGTAGAGGTTTCTGACTTATGGAGTCTCTCACCACATTTATTCTTGGTTTCTGACCAAGAATGCTTCTGGTCCTTCTTGACAAAAGAAGCCTTTAGAGCCTGTTCAACTTTTCTCTCAGAAGTTCTTTTTCAGTCATACATAACTCATGCGCCTCTAGACTGTTTTGCAACTCTTTTATTCTCATGGTTTCTAGATCTTTAGAATGTTCAATTGCTACAATAATGTAATCAAATTGAGGAGTAAGTGACCTCAATATCTTCTTAATTATTTGTTCAGAAGGGGTTTCTCCACAAGCCTTCATCTCATTAGTGATCAGAATCACTC